CTTTACACAAAATTGACGAAAATCCCCCCCCCAAAAAAAAAAAAAAACCACCAGAAAACAGAACAAGAAATAAACCACATTCAAAATACATGAGTAAGTAATAACAAATCTATCAAATTAAACAGATCAGTTAAACAGATCAGATCAATTAAACAGATGGGTTTTCAGGGATTTTTTGAATGTTGCTAGTGAGCTAGAGTGGCGGATGATATAGGGTAAATTGTTCCAGAGTTTTGGGGCAGCAGCGTGGAAGCTTTTCTCTCCAGTGGAAGTGCGAGTTTTTGGTACATGGAGTAATCTGGTGTCAGTAGATGATCGGAGGCTTCTGGTTGGCTTGTAAAGCTGAATGAGTTCGGTTAAGTATGAAGGTGCAGAGTCAGTGTTAAGACATTGGTAAACGAGGGTCAGAAGTTTGAAGTTGATTCGGTTGGGGATTGTCAGCCAGTGAAGATCGTGGAGGATAGGAGTGACGTTGTCATATTTTCCAGCCTGATAAATCAGTTTAGCAGCACGATTTTGGAGCCGTTGAAGGCGTTTGCAGTCAGTAGATGTTATACCGAACAGGAGTGACTTTAAATTAGTTTGAAGAAAATTTGCCAAGAATTGGAAAAATTCTGACATAACATTATCAATCAAATGAATCCAATGAAACTAGACACAAAATCTATTTTGAAAAAAAAAAAAATTACTTCCTCTTTCTACTCTATCAAAGAAGTCTCATCTGCTGATTCTAAAAATGATGTCAATTTAATGAAAACTCCAAACTCAGCTAACAAAACAATCAATTGTCATGGAGGTACAATAGTACAACATAGTATGCATACGCATAGCTTTATCCTTCATGTAGATGTGTACATTGTAAAATGCATTCTAATGATAAAGAACCCAACTCCGACAAAAAACAATGTGATACCGGTATGATCTCAATTTATACCAATTTGTCGCTGTTATTCTCGGGTATTGCATGTAAATAACCTCAATTATTTTTACCCATGGGAAGTGCGTTCATGCAGGAACAAGGAACTAGTGAGGGAACAGGAAAGCCACTTCCTCCAGCAGCAACATGTGTAATCTACATTGGTGCATGCACAAACTTCAGTCAATGTCAAACATTGTTACGTGTACTGGTAACTACTGCAATGAACTGCAGTTTGCCCTAGAAAACCCTTTGCGTTTTTGCTGGTCCGAGAGGGCTAGCTAGCCTATTGTCCTCTTTGTATCTGACCGATTCACGGACTAACTCACTGACTGAGTGTCACTTGTCAGCCAGGCAGTGCTATCGTAGAGGGTTACCCCGTAAACGGTAATGTGCTGAATCTGGTCCATTGTGTAGATAGACCACATGAATGAAGACTTAAAGGTACATATCATGTACAACATTTGCAAACATCGAACAAAATAAACTACCATGAAATACAAACTTTACTGTAAGTGAATAACAGTCTCATGCCTACTTGTGAAATCATGGCACCTGGTATGCTGTCATTTTCAAGAAAAGGAGAATTTTTGTGGTAATTTCCAACGATGGTCGGCCGACCATCGTTGCAAAAAAAAATGATTTTTTTTTTTTTTTTTTTTTTTTTTTTTTTTTTTTAACTGCCCCCAATTTACCAAATTTAATTAGTCCACATTTTGTTTGCAAGCGGTTTCACATCCGTGACAGGTGCAAGCCAGCTGGGCTGGTTCCTTGACCTGACAATTCCCTGAAGTCTACAAATTGCTCTGTTTCGCCAGAAGTAGGGTCAGGGAACCAGACTACAAGAACAGCATTTTTCCTTAAAACCAGCTTTACTGAGCCTGCCGTGTCTTATTTTTTTTTAAAGATCCTTGAAATCCAATGGGCACACAAAAAGCCAAAACATTCTTCAAAACTTGAAAAACACAAACTACAATGTTCTTGCAGTGTTTGGACCCCACGAAGGACGTTTCATAGGCGACATGTTTTCATAGTAGACATGTTTTAATTTTTTTGGCATTGACCTTGTTGCATAGAGTCCTCAGAAAAACATACGGAAAAACATTCTACTAAACATGTGTGCACTACATGTATTTCCATTAGAATCATCCAGGAAGTATAAATCTTTCGATCATTCTGGCTAGTATTATTGCACATGGATCAACCTACTGGGAAAAAACCCAAATAAGGCTGTGCCAATTATTTGTTTGTTTGGAATATACTCAAATATTCAATCATCCACAGAATATCCCATTAGGGTTTTTTTCGATCCAAATATAAAAAAATGCGAGCAGTCTCGCAGTGATGATGAAAAACATGCATGTCATTTCAAAGTTGCTTGGTTTTATTGTTTTCCAAATGTCACCCTTATTTTTAGAGCCAATTTATATACGCATGACTTTAGAGCTCAATTTTCTCAAATTCCTTCTGTAAAATATCAAGCCATTATCTACAATACATACATGATGTTCTTTGTATTATTTAACCCTAACTCCCTAGGCCTTTTTACTAGGATGTGTAGCCTCAATCCTGCAAAATCCTCTATTATTTCTTGAATATGGTCCGTGGAGGGGTGACCACTGCCTGAATCCTGCAAAATCCTGCGGCAGTGACTGTCAATATGTTGAGGCTTGGCCAGTGACATCCTGGAGCAGTAAGTAGGATTTCAAGCATAATCCAGGCCTATACTTATGCATGGCTGAGCAAAAACAACACAAGGTCTGGCCCAAGACCATGACAAAGTGCATCCTACGAAATCAGTAACGCACTTTTGCCACGTAACCTCAATCCTCCAAATTCCTCCACTTTGGCAAAGAGGATTTTGAAGGATTCAGGGCGGTTAGGGTTAATAATAAGGTAAATAAGCTCTTTGTTGACAATGGAGAAACAAAAATATACCAAATAAGTTCCAAGTTTAAACAATTATTATAAATGTCACAATGTGACTAATGACTATGCTTGTTGTTGTCATAAAATTCACTTCCTTTTCATTTTTGCAGGAAGAAGGAAAAGCCTTACTGTCATTGTCAGCTGACATATTGATTATGTGGTTTTCCAACATGCAACAATGACTATAAACTTTTTTTCAAGATAAGTCCCTAAGGTGGAAACCGAATGAACTATCTTGATCCAATTTACTTTCACTTTCGGCTGATTACCATCAATAATATATTAGTTATCCCATGAGCGCATGTACAAAAATGTAGAACATGGAATAATGTAGTGCACAGCGTCCCATCTGCCACGAGGCCAAAGGCTTGTAACTACATGTAGCTGACATTTGAAAGATTGGAAGGACGCAAACTTGGCATAAAGCAAAACATCACTTTCGTTTCTTCAGCTTCTCGACACAACTCACATCTTTTTGAAACATTCAAATAGGGAAAACACTATTCGGATATTAGATGGATGATAAACTATTCCTGTATATTCGGTACAGACCTACACTGTAGGCCAAGGTGTTCATTACTCTCAATTCTTATTTTCACAGTATTTCATCAAAATTAACTGCTCACCAATTCACTTATTTATGCAGAAAATATCATTATAATAAGAAATTTAATTTGTAAATAAAATTCAGTTCTTAAAGTTTAGTTTAGAAATCAAAGGGAATATATAGTTTTGAACTATTGGAAAGAATGTCGAGTATCCAGACGCCACTTCTTTGGTTGAGTGCAAAATGTATGGGGAGTCGAGTGCATTTTCAAAATATTTATGAACAAAATCGGAAATGTTTCTCAGTCCCAGATTCATGTCTTTTCAACATTTTTGCAATGACTGACCTTCATTGAGATTTAACATAAAAAGTGGTGTCGGGATGCAACATTCTTTCGCAACTTTCGTTCAAAGTACTACATGTACCAGCCATTAGCAACATGTTGGCCTTGAATACCCCAAGAAAGGAACAAAATTAAGAGGGTGGGCCTAGACAAGTTGTAATGAAACACTTGGTTTCATGAGGTACATGTACGGTAGGAATCACCACGGTTTCACCACTTTCTGATAAATTGGATTTATTTACACACAATCACATCACGAGTCATGTGAGGGAAAGAATGTTGCAACCTGACACCACTTCAGCGGGTTTTGTACAAAGTCTATGGATAGTCAAGAACATTTGCTAAGTATTTCCTAACAAAATTGGAAATATTTCTCAGTCCCAGATTCATGTCTTATCATCACTTTTCAATGACTGACCTTCATTGAGATGATATATGAAGATATATGAAGAAAAAAGTGGTGTCAGGTTGCAACATTCGGAAAGAATGTTTGCAACCTGACGCCAATTCAGCGGTTGTGTACAAAGTCTGTGGAGATCAAGAAAAAAATTTAAGTAAGTATTTCCTAACGAAATTGGAAATGTTTCTCAGTCCCAGATACATGTCTTTATTTTTGCAATGAATGACCTTCATTGAGATGATATATGAAGAAAAAAGCAGCATCAGGTTGCAACATTCTTTCCCAACATTCTTTCCCACGTGACTTGTGAGTGTTTTAATCATAATATGAATGACATTGGTACATGGGCATGATCTGATGATTGGCAGAAAGTTACATGCTATGTAGGAAGTTGAGGAAAACTCTGGTTTTCCATGCAAACCTGGCGAATAAATACTGAAGTGAAAACATGCTGGACGTTAGTCCGAGTAACCAGGACTCTACGAATCGCCTTTTTTTAACATTTGGACATGTCCAAATGTTAAAAAAGGCAAATTGTAGAGTCCTTGTTACTCAGACTGGCTGGACGTTATCTTTGCACAACAGAAATTTCGAAATTTTTGTTCAGCAAATGACTGAGATAAATAAAGCTGATTGTTTTTATGCTCGTTTTTGTGCACCGGTTGAGTGTACAGGTTCGTCGGGGGACTGCATGTACGCGCGAGTACAGTGCAGTGTACGTGGTTTAAGTTCCATTGCCCTTCCGGTTTTTCCCACCACATCATATCACATAGACAGTACCGCGCTATAAAATGGCACAAAAAGAGCCTAATGTCTCCGTTTTTTGATAAAATTCGGCAAACGAAAAGAAAAAAGCCTGTCTCACCTTTCTTAAAAAAGCAACAAAATTCGCCTTACCGGAAGAAATTGTAGGAGAAAGTCCTCTTTACTCGCTCAGATTTGCGATGGGTGACTCCCTAATTTGTATTCAAAATGGCAGACTTTAAAAATGACGTCACGGTTCAACCATTCAGCCTGCCGGGGTATCTTTTTTTAGTCAGTACAGTACAGGGCTAGGGAAGGGGAAGGGAATTTGTGGGCGTGATATTTAGCGCCCTCATTTGGTATTTTTAGATCAAAATAAAACAACAGCTGATCAAGAACGAGAGTAATACGGAATTTCCCGGAAATAAACGATTTTACCTCACCACAACTTTGTTTATATTGAATGTGCCAAAAAAAAAAGAGATAAGAAAATAAAGAATCAATCAACGCATATATCACTCACAGCACTCAATTTCGGATGGGGGGAGGGGGTACGTGCGGGGGTGCGGAGGGGATTCGCCCTCGAGATTGACTCGTCGGCTAAAAAGTGGACTTTACATTACAGTCTTGTAATTTTTACTTTCTTACAATTTTATTGACTTGAACAGTTCGATTGATTGATTTTAAACAAAAAAAAGGAGAGAATTGACATGCACTGCTACTTTCAAGAGACAAGGACTATAACCTCGTATAACACCCGTCCCCCAAGAAAAAGTTGAACGTTGAAATTAACCCATTTTCATTAAGATTTAATGAACAAAATTTAGCCTTTGTAACACCTTATTTATAGCTATAAATTTATTGTTCTCTATAGTACATCAAAATACAAAACATAAAATTCCGTTATCTCAAATAGCAATAAAAGTAGTTTTATGAATTGTAAAATTGTATGAAACCATGTTGTACATAAAAAAAATAAATGGGTTTATATAAGGACCTGAAGCTACTATGAAAAATCCTTTTGAAAAACTCACACAAGTAAAATTGTGGGAACTTGCACAAGTCACAAAGACTAATTTAAAACTCTGTTCATCCAGGGTCGCCGTTATACTCCCTAATAAACGTGTATGTTTCTTTTATCGGCCTTTGTGAAAACTATAACTATGTGCAATTGAATGTCTTTTTGACAACTCTGTGAGGCCCCTTATATCAACAACCTGAGCAGGGAACTATACTGAACTACTTAAATTGAATAAATATTGTAATGGTAAGACCAAATTTGTTACATAAACTCTTTTGTTATATTGTGTGCTTGGACACTGTAAATTCATTGGTCTAGAACGGCCAAGTGTCTGGTATATAAAAACGATTGAGTCTCGATAGTCCGAAGTCCCATTGGTCCGAAGTCCCATTGGCCCAAAGTCCCATTGGCCCAAAGTCCCACTGGTCCAAAGTCCCATTGGTCCGAAACGTACTATTGTGTAGTTCCACTTGTTCAGGTTGACTGACCCTAACCCTAACCCTAACCCTAATCCTATGGGGCGTCGGACCAATGAGACTTAGGACCAATTGGACTTCGTCCCAATGGGACTTGGGACCAATGGAACTTGGGACCAATGGGACTTGGGACCAATGGGATGTCGGACCAATGGGACGTTTATACCAATGAAACGTATAGAGCAATGGGCCGTCGGACCAATGGGACGTCGGACCAATGGGACTTCGGACCAATGGGACATCGGACCAATGGGACTTCGGACCAATGGGACTTCGGACTATAAAGACGTCCCCTATAAAAACGCATGTCACACACTTATTTTTACGTGGAGATCAGTGATATCGCACTGCGATCATTATGCGCGCGTATGGAACCTGAGGGCGCGCTAGCTTCGCTCAATGAGAATAATTGCAATGTCAACGAGAACTGCAACGTCAACCGCTCAGTTTCATGTCCGGCAGGACACCAAAATCAAAACTTTCAGTTATCTAAGGTCGCATGGCAGTGGTTTAATTTATTTCTCACGCCCTAAGTTACAACCATATATCTTTTAGACTTATTGGCACGATATAACAAAATAGTTGTTGACTGCTGTGATATGGGATATGCCGTTTTTAACCCCCTCGGGTCGAATCGCCTCGGGTGCTATGCGCCCCTCGGGTGTTTTAAAAACGTCATATCCCACATCACAGCAGTCAAAATTTGCTATTTATAATTATTATTATATTAAATGAGCACCATGGAGTGGTCCACATACAAATTCCTGCATTAAGTCCTATACCTACTGGTGTCATTTACTATACTGCACGTCAAATATACCTATTTTTTAATGGAAAAAAAACCCCAAAATTCAGTGTTTACAGTAGACATCTAACCACAGCCATGCTCATAATGAACCTTTCTTCATGTAAAACAAATTTAGATTATTAATCAATAGTTCATCCACTGAAGTCAACACAGACATGTGAAACATCCCTCTCAGTATAGACCACTCCGGGCGCACTATCATTCCTATCAAGAAGGCCCCCTTCAATGGCGAAAGCATTGTATTGGCTATTATTCAAATAATCCATCACACAGCAGGTTCTTTGTACAGCAGCATACACAATGACTTCTCCATTGAAGGGGGCCTCGTGAGTGTACAGTGAGCATGAGCCTGGACTTGTCTACACATATCAAAGACTTACAGCAGATTTATCTGGGTGACTGAAACTGAACAGATGGATCACGTCGTCAAGAAAGTACAATGCCAAAAAAGGGTTTGAAAAGTTGCACTGATGAACCACATTTTCGATGATGGGCCTACACATCAAGGGTTGCACTGTCTGTAGTACAAATTGATTATTTTTCCAGAAAACTTCCTACATCACTTTAAATATCAATCCAACTTTCCTAAATAATCAATTATAAACGTCATCATATAGAAGCGTTCATCACAAGTTCATCACCAGTCAATTTTACAAGTCAATCACAAGCCCATTCATAACTTAAAGGGAAAATACAACATTTGCAAACATCAAAAAACGAAATGATCAAATTATCACGAAATACCTTACTGAATTGTTAGGGAATGACAGTCTAAAGCATCCTATAAAATCGTGGCTGCTGGTGGGCTGACATTTTCAAGAAAAACTGCGTTGGAAAAAACTGGCTTTTTTCAAAACTGTTCTTAATTTTTCATATTTAGTTTTCTGACTTTTCTTTGCTATTGATCACACACCTGTGAAGGGGTACAACCCTGCTAGACTGATTCTCTGACCTTACAATTTCCCAAAGTGTATTAATTGCTTCGTTTCATCTTAAGTGGGGTCAGGGAACCAGACTACAAGAACATGATAGGTTTTCATGGTTTTTCCAGCATCTACAAGCCCAAAACATGAAACAAGTCAGTTTAACAATATTTTATATACCATACTAATCCTCCAAATCCGTGTATTTCTGAAAATTGCAGCAAAAGCAAATGTTGTACATTCCCTTTAACAGTGGATGAACAATAAGGAAGGAATGCCTTTGTCAAAGCTCATTTGAAAAGCTTGTGAGTTGAACTGGCAAGTACAGCTACGCCAACCTGACTCCCCTACATCTATTTTTGCATTCCTGAGAAACATTGCTTTCAAACATGAAATGAGTCTAAAATAAGGGAATAAATGTGTGCTCCGGAGGTTTTTATCACTCTGTTTAAGACCACTTAGAGTCTGGGTGCTGATAATTACCCGAGCCGGAGGCGAGGGTAATTATCAGCACCCAGACTCTAAGCGGTCTTAAACAGAGTGATAAATACTGACGGAGCACATATTTATTCCCATTCATAAATACCTTTTCGGTAAAAAAAAATCATATAATTTGTTCAAAACATCCCGATTTTGTTCAACAAATTCACTTTATGCTTTTTGAAACATCCCTCTTGCAAAATAATGGAGTGTTCAGCTGGCGAGTAAGATGTAAACAACCCTTTTATGGAGATTGACGAGCGCGTATCATGTTCTGCGCGATGTCGCGCAGAACGCACCTGGCGCGTTGCGTTTTGAATTTAGAACTATAAAATTCTGACTCCCTGGTAGTGTTGCGCATGCCTACGTGAGGATTGTGAACGTTCAACCAACGAAACGAAAAGAGGCACTGGATTTTTAGGAGTCCACATTTTATTGTGACACTGGAAAAGTGTTTAAGACCCGCTAGCAATGTCTTTATCATCCGTTTAAGACCGGCCACGTGACGGGCTCTCGACCAATAGGAATGCGTAAACTGTCTTAGGTATTTATGAATTACATATAATGCCATCACAGTGTTAAACAATAAATATATAGAGACTCGGAGGGTTATTTTAGCCTGGTGATGACCCGTTGTGAGAGCTCTGTGAGGGCTTGACTGGCCGGGCTTGGCGTCAACTGGCTGATCTGCCTCTTGGCTTCCTGGCTGTACTTGTTGGCGATGTACCGTGTCTGCTCAATTCCGTCCGTCTAAAAGAAAGAAGAAAAAAAGATGTAAAAGGTAATGGAAAACATCTGCAAACATCAAAAACAAAACTGCCAAAATATCATGAAATATCCTACTTGACTTGTATAAAGTAAATAGTAGTATCAAGCATCCCGGGAGTATGCTGTCTTATTCAAGAAAAGAGGAATTACCATCATTTCCTTGCGATGGTTCGGACAAAACCATTGTAAGAAAACAAAAAAATGTTTTTCAAATACTGCCTCCAAATGCCCAAATTAGGTTTAGTTTGCAATTAATTACATATCCCCAAATGTGAGTTATTTTTCCTAAATGACAAACTGGGGATCATACAACAAGAGGGTGCAAGCCAAAACGTATTAACCCTAACCGAACACAACCCATCAAAGTTCAACAGCAGGTTTTGTTTAAATCTGTTGGGATAGGTACAGTTCCCCTAAAACAGATGGTCTTTTACACTGGGGTTGGCATACCTCCAGAAACTAAGTCCAACAGTGTGTGTGTACAATTTCCCATGTGGGTGTTGGAATTTGCCTGAATGGGTATGGTTCCTAGTAAATTAGGCTGGGGAGTTAGGGATAATTATTAATGAACATTTTGGAAGGGAGGGCTTTCAACAGAAACCTTGCTTTGCATCATGAGAGATGAACATGTATCTTCACATTTTTTGCCCAAAATGTATACCGAGCTGAACTTTTTTGACAGGTTAGTTTTCAATAACCTGTTTAAGATTTATTTTAATAGGGGTTTTGGTGTCCATTACCTTTTACAAAATATCAGTCTTGCATTTAAGTAGTTAACAATTTCATTACTGGACAATATGGTTCTCATTTGCCGAGCACTTAGGTGGGCTTACAGCTTAGTGATAGGGCTGCCTACTATTGTTGGCCCATCTGGTTTTCTTGTCTTGAAATGTCTGAGAATATGTCTATTCCCCCCTGGATGGGATGCCAGTCCATTGCAGACTACTCCCCATTTAATGTCAGTACTCATTATATACTCCTGGGTGGAGAGAGGCAAGTTGGGATGAAGTGTCTTGCCCAAGGACACAAAATATGACCGGCAGCTGGAAATGAACCCCTGACCCTCTGACCATGAGTCACGAGCCCTAACCACTAGGCTACACTCCCCCACACTGTAGGGCAAACCATTAATCCATTTAAAAAGCCTTGCCTTCTGGCTTAAAAAATACAACAAATGTACCTATGAGGGGGAGGATAAAGTTTCTTCCTGCTTTTCTGGACTTCATAAAAAAAATTTGTTACTAAAATTTTGTATCTTCTATCCATGTTACCTTGGCAACAGCTTCTCTTGCCCTCTCCACGTCACCTGGCTCGCTGAATCGTCGCATAATCAGAGCGTCCAATTCAGGGAACTGCATTCAGAAAGAGTTTAGTCAACTTTTAACAAATTTGTCTGGATCCAATTGTTTTCTCAGTTTGTGCTTCAATGTTAAATCTTTCTACAAAAAGCAATTGGCAGACTTTTTTAACAGAAGCTTTAGAGAGAACTTCAAAGGTTCTTAGCTTAAACTTTCGAAATTGCCAAGAAACTACATTCCTAATTTCGCAGAAGCACCAAGTTTTCATATTACATCATGCAATAAAGTTTTCCTGCAGTTTTTCTACGACTGAGGCAATAAGACAGATCTTGTCAAGCTACATGTATATTTGCAATCTTAAATTGTGCCCCCAGCACAAAACCAGTACTGTGATTTTGGGCTCATTGGAAAGGCCATTGAATAAGCTTACCAATGATGTATTTTCATTTCCCAAACTCGGGCTTCAGAAAGTTAAAAAAAGGCAAGAAATTTGTCTTAAAGGTGTCCCAAGTGAATTCCTTAGGAAATTTACAAATTAACTTCATATAAAGGGAAATATTTTCACTATTCTAGCTTTTAACGCCTAAATCTGAATTTCGGTTTAAAAAGAATTTTTTTTTGCCTGATGTACAGGCTGTGTCTCAAAATATGGCCGTGCAACTTTGACTGTTTTTGTGCTGGAGAGTCACAATTTATACTTTTAGTTTATCTTGGGGCATGACTGCTGCCGCATTCTGGCAAGAAGACATCTTTAATTCTCAAACTAATTTTCAACCTTCTTATTTTTCATTCCAAACTTGGTGATGACTGTACCTTCTCGGCAGCAAACAGTACCGGACCCGTAGCGAGCCCTAGCTTCAGGTCTGCCGATGTCGGTTTTCCCATTTCGGAGTCGCTGGACACAAAGTCCAAAACGTCGTCGATCAGTTGGAATGCCATGCCCACATTGCGGCCGTACTCAAAGGCTATCTGGCACACCTCGTCACTACACTTGCCCAGTACCGCCACCTGATTTGAAAATGTTTATCATTCGAATTCACTATTTCTAATATTCAAATTCGTCCATCATCATCGATTTAATGCACTTCCAATGTTTAATTTTGACTTCTGTCAGACAATTTCAAATTGTGTTCAAGCAAATTCAAACAACAAGCACACGTTTTCGTCCCGGAGTATTCTATTTCGTCTCATCTACGCCAAACCTTGTTATTCATAAATCAAATTCATCTAATTGATTTATATAAGATGAATTTGATCTCTGAATGCTGCCTTTCCGCAACAGCTTAGACGAATTTGATCTGTAATGATGAATATTCTCGACCCGGTGACTAAAACGGGGGACCAAACTTTGAAATTGATTGGAAACGACTAAATTGGGTTTGTTAAAAGCGTGTGAAATTTTGCTAGGACGAAATAAAATGTTAGAGTTGGTGAATTTGAATGACAAATGTTTTAAAATAGCCGGGAAAACCTATATTAAAAATTCAAAACCTTCAAATCTAAAAAAAAAAAATTCCAAATATTTCAAACCCCTCATGTTTCGGCTCAAAAAAAAATCAATCTTTAATATAATGTATGTCTTGATGACCTTTGAGAGTTCAGGTACTTTTCACGATTTGTTGATGTCGGGGTACAAAATGTATTTCTCACTGTGCCTATTGGAATATATTTTACTGGTCTGTACCCTTCATGCATGAGGTTCATATTACACTCAGGGTCTTACCGCCTGACAGCTATGGGCCATCAAACTGGCCGTCTTCATGAAGGTTTTCTTGAGGTAGTGAGAAAAACGCTCATTTTCATCCTCCTTGGACCCCAGCTGCATAAACTCCCCTTAATAAACAAAACAAAAAGATCAAATCCATTCAGATTTCTCCGTTCAGATTTCCACTGGCATGAGTAATACAAGGACGTGTTCTCATTTCTTAAACAGTGCGAGTCGTGGTCCTACAATACAGACTTGAAAACAGATTTTCGTTGCCATATAATGGGTGTTTCGGTGCTTTTTTGTATTTCCATATTTATGAGCAAAATGGTGTCGTCTGAAAGGGAATGTGCATCATTGGCTTTTGCTGTAATTTTCAGAAATGGAGTATTTGAGGGGTTAGTATAACATATCAAATATTGTTACACTGACATGTTTGACATTTTTATGTTCGAAAATGCTGGAAAAACCAAGAAAAACAAAATTGTTCAAGTAGTCTGGTTCCCTGACTCCACTAAAGATGAAATGGATCAATTGATAGTTTCCAGAAAATTGTAAGGTAAGGGAACCAGTCTAGCTGGCCTGCACCCGTTCATGAACATGTAACCAATACCAAACAAAATTTGGACTGAAAAAAGGTAAATTTGGAGCAGTAGTTGAAATATAGTTAGGTTTTTCCAACGGTGGTCGGCCGACCACCATTGGAAATGTATACAAAAATACCATTTTCTTGAAAATGACTTCACACCAGGTGCCATAATTTTACAGGATGCTTTAGACTGTCATTTACCAACATCCCAGTAAGGTATTTCTTAAAAACTTGATAGTTATATTTTTCGATGTTTGCAAATGTTGTATATTCCCTTTAAGGCCGGTTCATACTTAGCCTGAAAGTAAACGCATAATTGTGAAGTCACGGCAAGTTTTCCCACTGCGAATTCAACTAAAGCAAAATTTCACAGCAAATGTTTCCTGAAGTCATATTAGTTTTCCATTCCTGAAGCATGAACCTGCCTTAAGGCACAGTCTTCAGTCTTGTAGCTGCTTCGGCACAAAAAGTTACCAGAATAGAGAACACTGAGAGTACCACCAGAAGCTCTTGACATCTTACATTGCTCTTGTGACTAATTTAGCAATCACCAAAAGAAAATATGGACTCACCCCTCACAAGGTCGTCTATAACTTGCGATAGAATCAAGACCACCTCTTCGTTGCCAATCCTTGCTAAAACCTTAGAGGATACCGACAGGACAAAATCACCAGCTAGGATAGACTGCAGAAGAGAATAAAAAGACAAACAAAAGAACTAAGTCAAATGATTTTCCAGGAAGGAAAACACTTACAGTAAACTCTGGCTAAACCGACATCGTACAACTCTTCAAATCGCTCAAGTCGGCCGTCTGACTAAAGTCCCGATTGTCCATAATGCATTTCCATTGGATTATTTATTTCTAAGTCGGCTTTTACACGTCGCCATTTCGCTCAAGTCGTTGTGTTACTCTCGGTCCCCTTTCCATAAAAAGCATTACAAAATCCTTTGTGTAAGTCGGCATTCAACAAATCACGCATTGGCATTGACTTCCTGTACTGCGGTTGGCAAAGTGTCGAGTGAAAAGTGGTTTCACACGGCTTGTGATCGCTGCATGCATCGGTGTTGAAAAAGGGTGTCCTACTGCATACCACTACGCGGTGCTATAGGATCTTTGCTGCATACATCGCATACATATGCATCGTGAGCATATCAATACCAGTACCCCCTCTAGGCTGTACGGATGCGCTCTGTCCATTTTGGGGGTCGTCTTATTGAATGACTACTGCTGCAGTCAATGCGTGCGTGGTATATACCGGACCACGCACGCATTTAAGTTGTTACTGTGCACGTACACATATGTATCGTGGTCTCCACTATCAATACCCCAAATGTGATGATACAATTCGAGGATCAATTTGCTGGATTCAACTCACACATTAAGGAGATAATCCAGGGTTAATCGAAGCCAATTAGTGCAATGAATCATGTGTGCAAAAGACCATTCATGTAAGTCGGCAAAATGAAAGTCGGCAAAATGACGACTTATAGCATATATCGGCATTCGCGTAAGTCGTCACAAATTCTCGGGTACCGAGAGTGCCGGTTTAGCCGGAGTTTACTGTATTACATTGTTTCAAGACGAGCAAATTCACGATACACATTTCATCAATATGCACATCATAGAACTGAATGTCACTTGGTATTTTACAGTTACAATCATGCAATCCTGATGAATAAACGGAGATCTGAAACATTTTACTACAACTTTACAAGGTGTCTGTTTCTCTAGGTTGCGTCTTGAAATTAAAATAGAACTGCCCGATCTACCTTGTCTCCCTTAAAGGTACAACTTTTATCATAACGAGTCTCCCTAATGGGCCATTTACACGAATAATGTAGAAAGAGGCAATTGCAGTAAAGTGTCTTGCCAAAGAACACAAGCACCATGTTCCACTGCACATGAGGCTATTAAACACCCTTACTATTGGACCACGGCATTCCGTACCTTTTTCTGTCCCCATTTCTCATTGATGGCCGTCTTATTTCTCCTCGTGTCAGCGTTATCTATGACGTCATCATGCATCAGGCTAGCTGTGTGGATCATCTCAGCTATCATGGCTATCTGACGCTGGGTGTCTAGGAGTTGTCTATAGGACCGAAAAAGTAGTTCAGTGAAAAAAATATCATCAATCACATCAAAAAATTGGGGGTATTTTGAACAAGACCACCATTAGACACTGTATTTCTGCATAAAGTGTGGCATATATTTTTGTTCTAGAACTTGAAAACACCCTTTAAGACTGAAGAGGGTAACATCAGAATAATGGAACAATTGTATTTATATATTATTGTATGGCTTTGAGGGGCATACAAGAATATATTGAATGAGCTATAACAATATTGCACAAGTCGAAGATGAGTGCAATATTGTATAGCAAGTGCAATTATATTCTTGTATCCCCGAAAAATGCCGTCCAGTATTATTATTATTATTAATATTAGGCTGACTAGATCGGCAAGAAATAAATTTCAGGACCGTTTTATTTCTCACATTTCTTCAAATTATTCTTCGTTCACCGAAGCAAATGTCACAACAATCGAAGCTACTGTTGTAGTTGTTGACAACAGTGCGCGTATACCCTGCTGCGTGATGTGTCTGCGTGTGGGAGCGACGGTACTACGTATTACCCTGGTTGACTGGTTGACAACTGTGAGGTTCTACGCTCTAGATTGTACAGGAACCAGTGAAAATACCAGAGTGAGGACAATATCAAAAGTAATATTGTCCTCATCTGGGTACTTTTACCGACATAATGTTGTAGTCGTCCGGATACTTTTTTACGAAAATATACCATACGCTGATTTATTTTTACCACTGGAAGCCTGATATAAATAACAATTATGAATATTGACAGGAGAAAACAATTTTAGCAATTATGGCATATTTCTTATTTTTCTCTCAAGCTAGGAAAGGCTTTACTAGTTACCTGTTGGCACCGTGGGTGTGGGAGTTGCACGCTCCGGCAGTGAGTAGGACTAGCATTGGACGGAAGGCTTTGCCTTTACCGTCAAAATAGTACTGGGCTACTTCTTGTAGAGATCTGCGCTCAGTGATTAACTCCTAAAATAGTGAAAAGAAAAATGTATCATAAATAAAATGATGAGTACCAGCAACAAAGAATACTGACTGAACAGTTTATGATTCAGAAATATTGACATGCAAGCTGAGGAAACTCAATTTGAAAAGTTTCTGCAGGTTTTCTTCTATGAATGAACAGAGCACGTAGGTTAAATCTCACATGAGATACACAAGACCACAAACTGATATACTTTTTGGACTGATTAAATTCCCTTCAGGGCACTCAACTCCAGTTTGACCAAAAGTCTTAAATACGCAGGTGACTTTTACAGACTCACTGCATAATTAGCCCTCAATGGTTACAGATAACAGAAAGACATTACAGACACTTAAAGGGCCCGTGAAACGTAATATTTTTAATGCAATCCTTGCAAATGCACCTTTGTGTCCCTTTAACCTTATTTTCAATTTTCATTTTGCCATTTTCAAGGGTATTTTGGTGCCTTTTTGGTTTTTATGCTAATGAGAATTTCCATTTTCATGAGCAAAAGTGTGATGTCATATCAGGCAGAAACCTCAATGTTGCAATTCTTCGTGTGCCCGGCAGAAGGGCATTATGTGCATATGCCCTTATGCAATAGCCCGTAATGACCAAAATGTTCCCAGCAAAAAGGCATATGCAGCAAACTGCCTCTATTTTAATGAAATTTAAACATTTTTGTCAGAAATTACTACCAGTTGTTCCAAAACGTATGATTCACACGCGTGACAAATTTCAAATTCGTACGATTTATATTACGTGTGGGGGAACATTGGAACCTTTCAATTGATGCAATTTTCTTGAAAATGATTTTTGCGTCAGAACGCTCATATGCCCTTCTGCCGGGCACCCGACGAATTAGTTTATGCACAAAAAAGTTGCAAAATTTTTGGATATTTCGCTGTCGTAAACTTTCTTTTTATTAGTGATTTGTTGTTGTGTCAGTTCATGGCAGTAAGCCAATGAGCAGACTTTTCTCACAAATGTTTTCAATGGGCATTTTTTTGGGTTCACTATTTCAACAGAAAAGCACCAAATATGAACAGTGTCTCCCTGAAATGACATCACGCAAACAGCGCCCTCAGTTGTCCGGAAAAGCATGGAAAATTTGTTAATGTTTAAAGAAGTGCACCTTTCAACAAATTAACGAAAAAGGAATATCAATTAGTTTTCATACACTTAAGAGGATTAGAAAGTAGCACAAAAAATGTTCCTCAGAAATATTCACTTCATGGGCCCTTTAAATAAACGGCCACTATGTATCCAGCGCCCTTAGACTGTTTAAAGGGGCACTAGGTCCTGAAATCCCCGAAAATTTTATGTTTTGGATTGTTAACTTAGCCTTATCTTAAACATCTGGTTGAAAGGAAACCAACCTAATGTCTTACCGTTCCCGAGAAAAGACGAAAAATTCTGCTTGTTTACATCGGACATGACGGAGTACGAATATGTTTTTTGTGTCGTTCTCAGTGTACGATATACACGTTGTGCGTCTCGGGAACAGCGGTGACCAATCACCATCAATGCAAAAAGAGTGGTTTCTTCAACGTCCGCAAAAGGCGAACACTTTACGAATGAAATCACAACTAGCATCCAAACGGCTCGAATTTATGGGGTCACAAAAGTGGACCCCGAAATTTGTTCTCGCACGTATAAAACAGGAATAACACAAAAATGCCCAGTTTTGAAAGGATAGTTGTGTGGATGTTTATATCCTACTTTTAAATGTTCTTTCCGATTAACATCATCTCGTTCAAAGCGCGTTTTGTAGCCCAATTGGGCTGTTCCAGGACCTAGTAGCCCTTTAATTATGGATATCGCCACTTTGTGATCACGTGGTAATGGTTGGGGACACTTCATTGAAAATATGTCCTATCATGACAGGGTCACACAGATAGTGGTATCTGTGAAACGGTCTATGCAGCAATGCAACAATTGACCTGTGCGTGATAACCGCCAAATGGAGGTGATTGCACAGTATTGAGCAGAAGCAGAAACAGGTGTGCACACATGTATGTGACAATTAGTCCAGCCCTTTACGCGCAATCCTGTCAATGTGCATACAATGTGCATCCTCCACACTGGAGCTCACTTAAAGGGAAAATACAACATTTGCAAACATCAAAAAATAAAACTACCAAATCCTTTTGAAATACCTTGCTGGACTGTTAGTGAATGACAGTGTAAAGCATCCTGTAAAATCATGGCACCTGGTATACTGTCATTTTCAAGAAAACTTGTTTTTTTGTATCAATTTCCAACGCTGATCGGCCGATCAGCGTTGGAAACAACTGGCTTTTTTTCAAATACTGGCCCCAATTGACCATCACACTTGTTTGCAATCGATTACAAACCTATGAACAAGTACGAGCCAGCTAGACTGGTTCCCTGACCTTACAATTCCCCAATGTATGTAAACTGCTCTGTTTCTTCTGATATGGAGTCAGGGAACCAGACTACAGGAAAATGATCATTTTTCTTGGTTTTCATAGCATTTTCGAACCCAAAACCTCAAAAAAGTCAGTGTAACTATATTTGCTATATATTTCCAACCCCCCAATTCCATCCATTTCTGAAAATTACAGCAAAAGCAAATGATGTATATTCCCTTTAAGCGTTCACAAAGCACCATCAATTGTTAATTCAAAATTGTGCTTTGCCATTCACAGATGTAATTCTTTTATAAACACTGTACATGTATACCTCTGTGAAGGGCAAAACTGAATATAGAACTTACATCTCCATGAACTCTGTGCAGGAAATGTTGATGGTACATGTATTTTCTAAGACGGAATTTTCGTCTGGGAGATGTTTATTCAATATTGGGTTTTGGTATTCACAGAAGTAATTATTTTAAAAACACTGTACATGTGAAGGGCAAAACCGAATTATTAAATTTACATCTCCCCCGACACAAATTCTATCTTATCAACAGTTTGGTTGCAGTACCTGCTGCAATAACAGATTCGAACCCGCCAACCGACCCCGGCATGCTCGGCTGTGAAGACGTGTTAAGACGTCTGCATTAGTAAGCAGGAAGTCATGGGTTCGAGTCCCACCCTAGTAAACTTGTGATTTTTTTATCGCAAGTCCTTGGACAACACGGAGTATACAGTGTTGATAAAAAATACATAAGTGAAGGGCATCTTCATCATCATCGTCAGTTTTGAGGCAGTTGTCCAGTCTGTTCTGGGTTGGCCTGCTTTCTCCCTATGGCTCTCCTCCACTTGGCCCTTTCTGTCGCGTTCCTCGCATTGACTCCAAGCAGACGCATGTCATCACTCATGGAACTCTGCCACGTCTTGCGCGGTCGGCCGACAGGTGTGGGCCCTCCCACGACTATGTTGGTACACCTCTTGACCCAGCTGGCATCTTCCTTTCTCTCCACGTGACCATACCACCTCAGCCTATGCCTCCTCAACACAATACCGATCCCGTCCACTCCCCACCCAAAAAAACCTAATATTGAATAAACATCTCCCAGATGAAAATTCCCTCTCAGAAAATGCCATCAACATTTCCTTCACCGAGTCCACAGCACTAATCAACTTACGTACTTTGCATATATTTCCATGCAGAGAAGCAAGTTCATCTTGGGTCAGCTTCTCCGGGCTACACGTTTCCTTAGGAAACACATTTGAATTGGTAGAAAAACACCGACTATAAAGATACCTGAACAAACAAGAAAGAACAGAGACCAAAAAAGCTCAACATACAAGATGAAAACTTCTATAAGAAATCAAAGACACATCCGAAAAGCGAAGAGGTTAAAATGTGAGGAGTAATTTTGTAAATTACCTATTGTTGGTCCTCAGTCTACCTTTGCAATTTGAAGATGCCTGTTTGAGAGACAAAGATAACATGTTGGAACTGAACTTCAAGTTTATAGCAATTATAGCTACAATTCGGGCGATTCACAATGCAGTGCGCCACCAAGAGTTTGCCCCGGAGAGTTCATTTTTCCCAGTACATTGTGGGAGATGGTCGACAAATTCGCAGCGCGGGACATTTTAAATTGTTAGTTTTTCCGGTCAGTGGTTTCGTAAGCGTATGATTCGAGGATCTGTTTGCCCATTTCTTTTCTTGTTATCAATATGGTGTTTTTTGTAAGGCGGCAGAACGCTATCCCCCAATCTATGACATATTAGCTCAAGTTGTCTACTGACACTCATTCAAATGGGCCATGTTTTGTCGACCGTAAACTTGAAAAATGGACTCTCCGTGGCAAACTCTTGGTGGCGCACTGCATTGTGAATCGCCTCGAATTCAATGAAAACTTGCCTGCACATGCACAATGTGTGTCTAACGCACATTGTCGCCCAATTTGGGGGTGCTTTTGCAGCTTCGATTTTTCATGTAAATGCCAGATAAACATGAATTTTTTTTTGATAATATATATCTTGAAGATGCACTCTTTCCTAAAAAAAAAACCTAGAAAATTATATCCCATGAGCCACATGGGGATTGCCCCCCTTGTTTTTGGCCAATTTTACGGCAGATTTCTGGCAGGGGCCATATTAAGGGTCACCCAAATCAGGGAAGACATCTACAAAAGCTTTCTTTCACATAAATGTCAATATTTAGTCAGAGATTACATTAAAATTGACATAAAAAAAAGTTTATGCAAAGTTCCAAGCATTTGAAAAAAATGCATGTGATGCATCATGACCGATCATTTTTGACCCTCCCTAAAATAAAGGTGTGAGGTATGATGGGCATTATTTTCCTACTTTCCTGCTCTACTACATTAGTTGTACCAATGTATTCAAATTCAGCTTCCAAATCAATCTCAACCTCAAGATATGGGTCAACTAGTTTAAAGTCAGTGATATATTCTATGGGCCAGTCTAGTCCCACCACTTACTGGGGCACTAGAACTTCCTTTTTTGACATTTGGGATGTTGGTCTGTCGTACTAGTTGTTGCAATTTCCAAAAGTTCACAACACAAAACCACGCAAAATACTTAACAACAATACCTTTGCCCCAGTTAGTGGGACTAAGGCCAGTCAGTTTCCCGTTTTTTGGCTACCGTAACACCTCAACGGAAAGCAATTTGAAGTTTCGCTTTCGACCTCATCTATAGCAGAACCTTTCCACCAAGTTTGAACAAAATCTGTGACATATGGTGCCATGGCCCGTTGAATTGGCACGGAATGACCCCAAATCGTCAAAAAGCGTCAACAAGCGTCAACTGGCGTCAACAAACTTCAACGGTCGTCAACCCAGCATCAACAAATTTTGTAGAAGTTTTGGAAAATCAAAAACAGCTTTATAATGGTAGAAATGGCAACAAAGAACACCTTCAGCATTAGACCCGTGAACGTGGCTTGTAATTGTATACAACGCCACGTTCACGGGTCTACTTCAGAGCTCATATAAATTAAGTAAAAACTATTTCAAAATTTTTTTTTTTCAACACAAAACGTTTGACGACTCTGTCGAGTTTGTGTTGGCCGCCATTTTGTTTACGTGAAGCAGTGCCATCGCATTAAAAAAAAATAATTTTAACTTAAATTGATATGCAGATGTTCTTTATTGCTTTTTCTACCATATAAATTTACTTTTAATCTTCAAAAGCATACACAAAATGTGTTGATGCTTGTTGACGCTTGTTGACGCTTGTTGACGCAGTTTAGCCCCCCCCCCCCCAAAAAAAATGCAACACTCGAAATTTGCACTGCAGCTAATTGCACAACGTTGCACCTCCCGATTATTTTTTTTTTATAAAAGTTACAAAAACTATTTTTCTACCACGGTAGAAGACAATCCACATCGACAGCAGGTTGTGCTTATACTCTTGTCGGACGTCGAATTAATTTTCTTCAGACATAATCGCAAGTTTCGCGGCAAAGAAAGTCGAATTTGACGCAATAGACCCACGTTCTGTAACCACATGAAGGTCGCCATCTTGAAACACTTCTCAAAAACACTGGTTTCCGGCGCCGCCACGCAAATTAAATGCTGACATCATTGGTGCCGCTTTTCATTGACGTGCACGCATGCTAGCCTCCGTCAAAAAAAAAAAGTGGCGGATGCTTTTGATGAGGCTCCGGTCTTTGCCCATCGGCGAGTTAACTTTTAAAAATGAAGCCTAATAATGCCCCATACCAATCTCACCTCATTTTTGGATACATCAGAAAAATATGCTGTAATAGAGTAGGCTTTAATTAATCAAGTTAACTGACAAGTTAATGCACTACCAAGCACCACCTGGAGTTCTACAAGGCCTGTGAAAACTGTGAAAATTAGGAACGTTTGTGTTTTGTTTTGGTATAGAATCCACCCCTCTATGAGAAACTTCGTCGCCAACAGGCGCCAGGCTCGGCCTAGGCCGGGCAGTCAGTCAAATAAAGTTTCAGGTGGAGTTATTTAGCCTATTCAAAGTAAACTGGATGGTAGGCCAGGCCTATCCGAATCAGCGGTTGTCCCATTCCCATCCGTTTGGGTCATTTCGACTTGACAAGTATTTTTAATTTTCCAATATCACAGTTGACTGCATAAACGATAGCCAGTAACTTACCTTAAAAGATGTTTCGAGACTTTATTCCTCAAAAATAAACGTAAGTAAAAATACCTTTTTGCATCTCTTAGGTTTGAGTTTATTGTGGCCGATTAAGAATTTACAGGCAATTAATCGACAATGAAATGTTTATTAAGAGCAACCTAATTATTTAAATTCTAGGTAGACCTTCAAATATATTAATTTGCAACCAAAGTACAATTTTAAAGTTTACGAACCCAATATTCATAATAGTAACGTAAGAAATTAATATTCAGCTTGTACTGTAATTATAATTCGACAATTCTGATATCGTTTTCATGATACGACATGGTTTCATTTTGATTAAATATCACGTACCCATGATATGCGCTATGCATGCATGCATGTGATCCGCGCGTGGACAAATTAGTTACGCGTCTGTGTTGAAATTCCATGATAACTGGAAATTAAAGTACATAAGTGATTTGAATGATTTCCTCACCAAAAGAATATGGCGTGTCAAACGTTGAAATATTCAATATTGTGCAATATATATGTTGGATGTTCAATATGTGTTTGTTATCTTTTACATTTACGTGCGATGTTCAATATAAGTGTGCGACGTTTTTCATTATTTGCGCGATGTTTAATATATTTGTGCGATGTTTTACAATATATGTGCGATGTTCAATATATGTGTGCGATGTTTTACATTTATATGCGATTTTTAATTTATATGTGCGATGTTTTTGACGATATATATGTGCGATGTTTTCAATATTATGTTCGATTTTTTGCATTAAATGTGCGATGTTTTTCGATACAATTGTGTGTGTTGTTTTACAATATATTTGCGATAATCTCAAATATGTGAGCAATGTTTCACACATATGTTTGACATTTCGAGCTATTTGTATTCGATGTTTCATCGGTATGTTTGCATTCGATCTTTTGCAATATGCATTTGATGTTTCCCTTTTCATTCGATGTTTCTTTAAGAGTTAAAGTCTGGTTACTAGACCGCGAAAGTCTGACTATTTTGCCTAAAGTCAGTGTATGAGACGTCAGGGGATCGCGTAAAGTGATTAGAGCCAGACCAAAACGGTAAAAACCGGAATTGTGGGTAATTCTCTAAGCATACGCAATGCGTTGATCATTGTTTGGGCAGTGGGCAGTACCCCCGGCTGTGCCTGTACTACCCATAGTGTTATGTGCATCATCTATGCATTGAGGAGTGCATGGGCGGAAATCCCGGGGGGGGGGGGGACAGGGGGGACACGCCCCCCCCCCATGAATTTGGTAAGGGGGGACACAATGTCGAATGTCCCCTCCATGTTTTCTTGTGTAGGTATGGGTGGGTGACCAACCATGGCAGAGTCTTAGGGAAAGCCTCTTTGATATGTCGCTTTGTGGCTGAGAACCAATTTGGTTTTCTTGTCGGTTCGACCACGGCTCTTGTACGCCTAGCCTACCCACGTACATGTACTGTACGTGCGTGTTGGTTCATGCGGTATACGTTATACACAATGTTGCCTGCGTACGTCATATAATTTGCTACTCCTATACCAAATTCGGCCCCACTCCGGCCCGCAATCGCTATGGTAGACTTGATGACAAGTCGTTAGACTATAGTGGTTTATGTCCGTCATCGATCAGCGCCAAAATCCGCATACTACCGCCGTTCATGCAACGTCAGCGCTACAACCATTCATGCAAAAGTCATGTACTAACACGTGGCATGGTCAGTCTGTGTCTAACGACTTGACTAAAGCCCGGTTCATACTTCACGCGAAAGCGAAAGCGAAGCGAAATTCGTGACGTCAACAATACATTCGAAGCGCGTCCACCATTGTTGACGACATGAATTTCGCTTCGCACATGCTTTCGCGTGAAGTATGAATCGGGCTTAAGACGTTTTCAAGCGAATATTCATATATGCAGCCACTGCAATGCATATGCATGATGTTTCCATAGCGAGGGCCAATAGTAGCCCATCTGGCTTACGAAGAAACACCATTATAAATATGGGGGTAATTATTACACGATCATTTTCAAGTTTCCATTTTATTTGGCAGTCCTGTTTTTAAAATTACAGTAAAAAAGCGTATAACATTGTAGATAATATTAGTACTTTTGCAACTGTCTTTTAATAAAAGGAGTAATATTTAAGTAATTATGGAAGTTGAAACTGTTACGAATAATTGTAAATCCTCTTCAAAAAATGAAGTGCGCGCCGACTGTAAACGTAAGCTCCTTTTGGCCCATGTGGTTTGTTGTAGTTTAACTAATCGCCCTGAAAACGAACTCGTTCGCGGTTTGTGCCCATTTTTAAGGTTACAGAACCGCAATGTCAAAATGCCCGATGCACACAATGAGGTTTAGAAATATATTGTTGCATTATCAAGGGGCCATGACCCCCCCCCCCCTAAAAAAACGAAACCAATTTTTGTTTTTATGTGACATCGCAATAAAGGCAGGCAATGAGTACACCCCCATCTTTTCCTCAAAAAAAATTGGTAAAAGTGGTCAGAAATTGCCTCAGATCGCATCACAGAGCATCTACAATCCAAAAAAATTTCGGGGCCCTTAAGCGGGCCCCGAAACCCCACGCCGTAATTTTTTGGACCCACTTTTTTGGGGGACCAAACTTTTTTTTGGCCCCCCCCTAAAAAAATTGTGTTCTGGATCCGCCCTTGCGGCGGACGCGATTAAAACCACTCATTACAGACTTGATTTCAAATCTGACGCTATGGCTGCCATACCCCATGGCAATATTACGAGTTGTAGTACAATATTAAGTTGTCCGTTCAGCCTGTGACTTTTTGTGAGTAATATAATTTCGGGGAGAAAAAAAAACCTGTCCCCCCCCCCCCCACGTTCAAGGAGCGATTTCCGCCCTTGGAGGAGTGCATGACACATGGTCTGAGCTCCAAGGCCGATGTGCACCTGTCCCGTTTAATGATCCAGTTACCTGATAATTTGTTTGAAAAATTCCAGATGTCAAATTGGGCAAAATTAGATGTTTATGAAAAAAAATCAAATTGTAAGGGGTTAACCTTGCATTTTTTTAGCAAAATCGGGAAAAATCGGATGTTTCTGGAAAATTGCAGATTGTATGGGGTTAGATGTTTATGAAACATTTCAAATAGTAAGGGGTTTGTAAATTTGCATATTTTAGCGAAATTGGGCAAAATCAGATGTTTCCGAAAAATTTCAGATGTAAGGGGTTAACCTTGCATTTTTTTAGCAAAATCGGGAAAAATCAGATGTTTCTGGAAAATTGCAGATTGTATGGGGTTAGATGTTTATGAAACATTTCAAATTGTAAGGGGTTTGTAAATTTGCATATTTTAGCGAAATTGGGCAAAATCAGATGTTTCCGAAAAATTTCAAATTATAAGGGGTTAACCTTGCATTTTTTAAGCGAAATTGGGGAAAAAATCTGATGTTTCTAGAAAATTGCAGATTGTAAGGGGTTGCCCTAGCTTTTTAAATACGATTGGGAAAAATTAGATGTTCATGAAAAAAATTCAAATTGTAAGGGGTTAACCTTGCATTTTTTTAAAAGCAAAATAGGACACAATCAGATGATTCTGGAAAATTGCAGATTGTTAGAGCTTAACCTTGTATTTCTAGCAAAATTGGGCAAAAAGAAATGTTTATGAAAAATTTTAAATTGTAAGAGGTGTACGTACCTTGTATATTTAGTAAAATTTGGCATAATCAGATTTGTATGAAAAATCTAAAATGGTAAGGGGTTAACCTTGCTTCTTTAGCAAAATTTGGAGCATATTTTACTAAAATTGGGCAAAATCAGATGCTTCTAAAAAATCCAGATGTAAAGTTTCCGCAAAAACAGCTGTTGAAAAAGAGCCCAATGTTGAACTTTACTGAGTCTGAGGTCTATCGAGGGGACGATCCTAATTATTTCAACTCCAGGAGATTCGCTGACAGTCTCTATTTTTCTTTTTGAGAGAGTCGAAATAGCTGAAGAGGGAGGTGAGAATCTATAGGCCTATGTGTCCAGATACAAAGAGTAGAAATCTACGCGTCTGCCTTTTGAAAATACACACTTGCGGTGTTCATTGTTGCGTAATGATCCGCCTAGCACACGACTGTTTTGCACATTAGGCTGTGTTATGCAGATTCCTAACAAACCAAACACACTGGGCTCATTATATCGACTTGTTTTTACCCATTTAGGTAAAGCAAATGGACCCAGTAATCTTCCTGGCGCGTTTGCTCACCTATAAAGACAACTTTTCTCAGTTTAAGGAAAATTCTAAGGCAACGAAATGGCCGAGTGGTAACGATTCGTCGTCCACGGTTAGCGGGGTCCCGGGTTCGAATCCCGCTGGTGTCTTTTTGGTTTTTAACGTATGAGTTCAATTATTCACTATAAGAGATTTAATTTCCCGTCGTAAAGTACCAACAGTACCTTAGCTTAATCGGTAAGC